ACCCCCCCCTCCCAGCGCCGTGTCCCGAGACCAGGTGCAGGCTTCGAGCTGCGAGGCACGGGGTTCCCAGCTCAGGGTGGACTCCGCGGGGCTCCCTGCCGCCCTGCTCCTCCTACAGGCCAAAATGCCGCTCCTGCCAATGTGCCGCCCCAAACACCTGCTTGGTTTGCTGGTGCCTGGAGCCGGCCCTGCTGGAAGTCAGAGAAATGATGTTACCTTGTACTGCCCTCACAGAGTCGGAGACAGGAGAGTTTTAACAGGGGTTCCCAGCTCAGGGTGGACTCCGCGGGGCTCCCTGCCGCCCTGCTCCTCCTACAGGCCAAAATGCCGCTCCTGCCAATGTGCCGCCCCAAACACCTGCTTGGTTTGCTGGTGCCTGGAGCCGGCCCTGCTGGAAGTCAGAGAAATGATGTTACCTTGTACTGCCCTCACAGAGTCGGAGACAGGAGAGTTTTAACAGGAATTTTTACTCTCAATTACTTTAGGTTTTCTCCTCTCTTCAAAGAAAAGAGAACAGTATAACGTGGTGGTGAAAATCTTCTAACCTTGGTGTCTAAGGTTAGATTGCTAATTCCGTACTTAAATACCTAGGTGAAAATGGCCTTATTTCCAGAAGAGTTAAGCACCTACAGAACACCCATTGATCTTAGTGCAATTTGTATGTGCTCATCACCTTTGAAAATCTGTCAATTTTTATTTAAGTGCCAAAATATGGATTTATAAACCTATCTTTAGGTACTTAAATTTGAAATCTTTGGACATGTTCTACTGGTACTATTGGTAGTCAGAGACCTTAAATGATTGCCTCCAACCATGTGACATATAGCTATGATTATATCTTGTTCAGTGCAACATGAATGGGATGGCAAGGAACTCAGCAAACAATAGAAGGCCATCCGCAAAAAGGTCAATAAAAATGTACAGTAAAACTCCAATTGTCCAGCATCCAGTGGTCCGGCACTCCCGATAGTCCAGCACCAACTGGAACCCAGAAGTGCTCCGGCCAGCCAGACAATTGGAGCTGCTGGCGGAGAACGGCGTGGCGAGGAGCGAACCCTCTGTTGTTTTGCAGGAAGACAAGGGAAGCCCCGTGCTGCCACTGAGAGTTTCCGGGAGAGGAGCGGGCTCCCCACGCCCCAGACTGCAGTAGTTATAGCTGAGCAGGGGGGTGAGGAGCGGCACTGCGGGACCAACCCAGCAGCACCCCAGCTGCTCTGCTCCACCACTTCCCCAAGTTCGCCACTGCTGCTGCTGAAGCTGACGAGGGGCAGACTTGGGAAAGGGGCAAAAGAG